CCAGGCTCATGTTCTAGCTTTTTGTGTATGCAAGTCACCATCATCCCCAGTATATCAAGAGTGCAAAATGACAAGTCCTTGAACTCCTACCCTCTACTATAGCCTTTACTTATGACATCTGATGTGGGGTGTTCCTTCGCTCCATGGTCTTTTCCATCCTCTGATATTGTAGTGTCTCTGGCTTGTATCATCACAAGGGTGGTGACCAAATGTGATGACAGCTTATGCCATGTCAAGTGGGCCACATGGAATGGACCCAAGGTGAGACTTGATGCTTTGTGCTCTTTTGAGCCTCTTGCCCATTGTAACATTCCAAGGATATTCTCCAGGTCTTTGTTCACTTCAGGGAATTCGTCTTTCCTCCCCACCATACTGTTTTAATTTCCCAGCAGCCTTTTTTATCTCATTGAGTATGAATCTTAAGGTGGGAAAGAGCCAGTCATAAGCACTGTTTGAAAAGGTAACCCTAAACACTGTACAAAGAATAGTTTGGAGTGAAGCATTTCTAGGCTTTAGAAAAAGGAGGTACTGAAGTTTCCCTTGTATCTGAGAAGAGGCTCCTGGGAAGGGTAACTTGAAATGAGGTAGTTAGCAGGTAGGCAAAAGCTGTGACATCAGCAGTCCCATACTTGAGTATTCTATGGTATCCTGGAGAGCCATGTCATCTCCTGTGATATCACCAGTGTTGCTGTGATACCAACAGGCTATGGGGCATTTATTCAGTGCCTTTATGGTTAACCTATAGACATGGTGGCAACATGAAGCAAACTACTTGGAAAAGAGAATGGAGAGCATAGAGAGACTAGACAGAGGCAGAAGGAACCGTTGGTTCTTTTGCAAAACAGCAATACACAAACCTTCTGGGAACATTGAATCTTGGCAGGGGATGGAGTGCTTTCTGCAGGAGGTAGGCTTGAAGTAGTCCTCCAAGGAGTAGGGCATGGGAGGTGGCAGTTTCTGGGAAACAATGAGCCTATCCTGTATCTTTGAGTTCCTAAAGAGCAGATATGGAGTCAAGGATTTCTGATGATTATTTTGGCAGAGATCCAGGAATTGTCCAGGCTGCATATTCTGTAAGTCTTTGAAGTGTTTGAAGATTACTTACCTAATTGAAACATACCTTTATACACCTAAAAACTTAATTAACTAACATGACTACAAGTTTGATTATTATTCTAGAT